ATCAAGGCTCAGGGAGGTGGCCAGAGAGATGGACTGACCACATCTTCCTTGGCATTGGGCTCTCTGTGCTGCTGCTGCTGCTGCCTGTGGTTCAGAGTCCAGGGCCCTCACTGGGAAGCTCCACTCTGCCCATGTTCCCAGCTGCATGAAATACTAGCCCTGCCAAGCTTAGTCCCTGCCCTGCTCCCTGCTGAAATCTGCCCACCACTGCCACCAGGTATCTATCCCAAGGCTCTGAGAAAGGTTATCTGCACTCTCTTGGATAACGATCAGCAGCTCTCACAGGCGAATTTGACAGACCATGCCAAAAAGATTCTAGAGAGGATCAATGAAATAGAAGCAGAAGTGGTGAATTCCCACAAGGCAAAAGAGAAATGTTCCCTGCTCAGATTTAAAAATCAAAAAAACACAAAAAAACAAAAACCAAACATTCCTTACTTCCATTTCCTGATAGCTGCCTGTCCCTGCATTCCATCAGGTCTATTCTGAGTCAAATATCTCTGGGAGGCCCACACATTAATCCATTATTGACCAAGGCACCTTATGCAGAGGTAGTTTGTCAGTTCCTACCCTCAAGGTTTTCCTGAGAGGAGATGCACATCTCTGAGAAGAAGGGTAATGCTGGGGGCTTGGACCACTGCCCAGAGCAGCAGGTCTGGGCCCTGAAGCCCCAGGTGTATGCTGAGAGCGCCAGGTATCTAAGCAGGAGACAGTCAGGGCCACAGAGGCCAAGCCCATAGACCTATGCTGCAATCCTGCCTTTGCTTGCCTCTGCTCTTCTCCACTATCTCAATGTACAAATTTGAAAAGAGAACATTTTACAAGAATATTATAAACTTACATTTTCAGAGTTTCCAGTTGTCAGAGCCTAGAAGGGACCTCAGAGACCAATATATGAACAAAAGAGTGAGACACAGGTAGGTGAAGTAAATTGCCCAAGTTACTTGGCTGGTGAAGATCAGGCCTAGCTTCTCCTTACTTCCCTAAGTGAGAGCCAGATGGCCCTTCCCTGGTGCAAAGAAATCAATTATTTACTTGATTGCTGCAAGCTTTAGACTGAACGTTCCTTGAGAAATAGGATCGTTCATTAAATTATTCAGCAAACATCTATTGCACTTGGCAGGAGCTGATGTGGAGGCAGGGAAGCAAATAAGCAACAACTTGACAGAAGACTACCAGTAAATAGTAGGTGGAAAGCATTTAGCACGATGCTTGGCCCCCAGTAAGTGCTCAATACATGGTGGCTTCTACAAAAGTATTATTCTTCTAGTGAGATGGAAATATGGAGAGAAAGGTAGGCAAACTCACGTGATACACTGATGCAGGATTAAGAGCAGAGGAATGATCCTATCAGAGTTTAGAAGGTCACTCTGGCAAAACTTTGGAGGATGAGAGTTAAGAAAAAGAGATCAGTTACACTGCTCTCCAGAGGGTTCAAGTAAACAGTGATGAAAAACTGAACTACAACTGTGAAGCTGCAGATGGAAAGAAGGGAAAGTTTCCAGAGGTAGTTCAAGACATATACTTCCAAAGGGTGAGTGGGAGAGGTCGAGAGAGGGGAGACACAAAGCCAACCCCTGGTCTGGACTCTTAGGGATGCCCATGATGGCCTTTATCAGGATACAGTCCCCTAGCTGCTACTTTAGGAAAGAAGAAAATGAGGTCAAGTTAGGGAAAGTTATTTTGGGGGATGCCTAAAAGACATGTGAGGGGCATATGTCCCAGAGGTATGCATATTTCCAGGTTTATAGTTCAGGAGAAAGGTCTGAGCTTGAGGAACTAGCATGTACACAATCACCCTACAGGTCAGAGCCAAAGCAGTGAGGGCTAGATAAAATGTACACATTCAGAACACATAGACACAGGGAGGGGAACATCACACACCAGGGGCTGTCAGGGGGTGCGGGCCTAGGGGAGGGATAGCATCAGGAGAAATACCTAATGTAGATGACGGGTTGATGGGTGCAGCAAACTACCATGGCACGTGTATGCCTATGTAACAAACCTGCAGGTTCTGCACATGTATCCCAGAACTTAAAGTATAAAAAAAAAAAAAAAAAAAAGAAACAGAAAGGAAGGGAGGGAGGGAGGGAGGGGAAAAGAAAAGAAAAGAAAAGAAAAGAAGAAAAAAAAGGAAAAGAAAAGGGAAAGTGGAACACAAAAGACACAAAAGCAGAGAATTATCTCAGTAGATTTCATCTGAGGCATATTAAACACTAAACAAAAAATGTACCCACTCAACTAGTATTTATTAACACCCTATTATTTGCCAAACACTGAAACAAGTCATAAGGCTAAAGCAGAAAATAAGAAAGAGAAGGCCCCTGCCCTCAAAGAGGTTATATTCTGATGAGGAGAGTCAGAATACACACACACACACACACGCACACACACACACACACATACACACACATAATGAAAGGAAAATATTAGCTAGTAAAAGCACTGAGCAAAGAATTGAATTAGGATATGATGTGATAGACACGGGCTACGTAGTTCCTTTTTGTTTGCTCAGGAAAGAGTTTGAGAAGCATAAGATGGGGCTGAAGACAAGGTGCAGGGACCCACATTTGTGGGCCGAGCACAAACGAGCAGCCCCAAGCACAGAGGGCTCAGCACCCGGCACCAAGCATGTCATATGGATCGAGACATCTAGACTTTTGGTCTATGCTCTTATTTGGAGGTCATGCCATCACCTCCAAACTAGAACCCCCAGGAACAACTCTAGTGGTTCATTATTTCATTTGGTAGCTATATATATAAATAAATATATATTTTAAAAATATATAAATTTATATAAAAATATATATAAATATATATATAAATATATAAATAAATATATATATATAAATATATATATAAATGTGTGTGTGTATATATATATAGAGAGAGAGAGAGAGAGAGCGCACCCAGCAGTAGGGGATGCTGCAGGGAACACCACCATTGAGCTCCCTGCCCTCAGAAAGCTCACATGCGAATAGGAGAAGACACACACAGCACACACACATAGACGCACTACCCCCAAGTAAACAGATCTCTAAATAAAATAACTGTAAGTTGTGCTAAGTGCTGGGAAAAATATATAAACAAGTGGCTAAGAATAACAGCAGGTGATCTACTCTAGATAGGATCTAGAAAGCCCCTCTGAATGAAAGCCCCTCTGGGAGCCGGCATTTGAGATGAGTCCTAGAGTTTGCTACGCAGAGGGTGGTGGTGACTGCATTCCAGGCAGAGGGAACTGGGTGTGCATAGGCCAAGAGTCAGGAAAGAGCTTGATGTGTTTGAGAAACCGAAAGACAGTCAGTGAGGCCAAAAGACAGGGCTGCAGAAAAAGAGGTGATGACACTGGAAATACAAACAGACTCACATCACTCAAGGCCTTGCTGGCTGCAGTCAAATGTTTGGATCTTATTGTGAGGACAATGGCAAGCCACTGAAGGATTTTTCAAGCCAGGCGAAACCTGAACCTGATCTGAGTTTCATTTTAAGGAATTTCTGGGACGGGGAGGTCCTTCTTTTTGAGCATGCAGCTCCTTGAGGCTACCCCTCCAATCACAGCATAGTGGTCCTTTATCCCACCCACAATTAGGGTCAGGCCTCCATCTGCAAAGCAACTTTTCCTCCTTGGATCGCCTGCCTGGCTTAAGTGCTTCCCAAAAAGCCCTATAAACTCACTAAAGTGTTTCCAATAGACTTTGCAAGTGTTGGAAAAATGGATGCTTTTGTAAAAGGACACAAATAATAAAACAAAACCACTCCCTCATTTCTGATGGAAATTTCTTGCTTTCTCCTCCACTGCTTTCCATTAGCCCATGGCCTGAGTAATTGTCTCTGCTCTTTACTGTCTCCATTTATTTTCCAAAACACTATGAACATGTGTATGTGACTATGAACAATAACGAAGAACTATAAATTCTTATTGATCCCAGAAGGTTGGGAATTCTAAACAATAAAAATATGTCCTCTGACTGCTTCTCTCCAAAGAACATTTTGGAGACACAAAAGAGCTTTGTTAAAACAACAAATGAGCTCTTGGGACACTCCGGGCCTAATGGTGGGCTCCAGGCCACCAGGTAGTGATGCAATAGGCGACTGCAGACACAAAGTTGGAAAGACCTCCCTGCTACCCTCTCCTGGGCTCACTTCCTCATTTCTCAGCCCACATCTTGACTGCATCAAGCAGAGTTTACTATATAGCTTTCAGCCACTATCCTTCTCAGGAGCCAGAATTCTCAGCCTAAAGAGAAAGTCCCCTTTGTCCTCCATCCATGATTTAATTTATTCTCCTAAACGCTCCATTCACTTTGTTTTCAGCCTAAGAAGTCTCACAATTGTACTAGACCCTGAATTTGAATTTCCCTGTGTTTCCGCTGTTTCAAAATTTGCCTCGGTCAGCCACTGGATAGTCCCAGAATTCAGCTTCACCTTAGAGAAAACCTTGATCAAGATTTGTTATAATATTTCCCACTACTGTCACATATTTTTCCCTCGATTCCTGTATTTTCATGTCTTTCAGAATACACATATGTGTACAAGCACACGTATACACAGATGCATACATATCACCTTTGCTCTGATAATCGGTGAAGTTTTTACTATTTTCCAACTTCATCACATTCCTGGAGATGTCCCTCCTTTGTCCCCCAGATTTCGGTGGTGGGGAGGTGCTCTTAGCAGTGCTTTTTTCTGTCTTTCTCACTCAGATGCACCATTCCTGGCATTCTGCTGATCCTTCAACTCCCTGATTCATAAGACAATGTCACCAACTGACTTTCTATGCTCTTGTCCCTCTGTTCCCATGTATAAACTCCTTTTATATGTAAATTCATAACATTTACTAGAGTATTCGTGGCCAAAACTTGACTACAAAATAATACAAACTCAAAGAAATGCCAATTCCTAATAAAAAATAGTTAACTGATTAGGAAAGAAACAGTTCTTTCTGTTCTTTGGACAACCTTGAGGGGAAAACAGATGACTGTTAGCGGAATATGGCTTACCTGAATGTATTATAATCCACCTTCTTTGTGTGCTTACGGTCAGCAGCTCTGAATATCTGCTTGAGCTCTCTGGATTTTGCTTCTTCTTGCTTCAGCTTTTGTAGGGCAAGTTTGAGGTTACTGAAAGGATACTGTAAGGGGGAAATGAAAGGAAAAACATATTTAAATATTCCTAACAGTTCAGGAGCCCAATCTTGCTCATGGCCAGTAAAGGGACTTCACACTGTGCACATGAAGTTAGCAGGTTTGTCTTTGCAAAGAAACCAACACCGAGAAGGCATGACTAGCTTTGAATCTCCTCAGTTATAGCTTCTGGACAACAGCTGACATCAGCATAGGCCCCAGCTCTGAGGGAAACGAGCTTAAGGAACACGAGGCCACAGAGATCAGAAAACAACCCCTGCTTCCATCTCAGCCTCCTCCCTATAACCCTTGGATATCGGCCCAATATGTTGGGATATCCTAACGGAGAAAATGGGGATTCAAAACTGGGTAAGTAGCCCTCCATTTTCTCTAGATCTTTAGAACGGGGTCCCCCTGGAACTGTTATCCATTAGGCAATGCACTAATGAGAGCAAGGCTGGGTATGGAAGATCCACACAGGCACCCTAACCCCTCGCACAGTCATTCTCTGGGCTGTCTACTGTTCCTGTCTCTTATCCTGTGACTAGCTTTTTGACCTCGTAAGAATACTTCTTGCATCCCAGTGAAACATAAGGTCGTAAATAATTATAGCTAAGAGATCAAAAATGAGAAGATGAAATTTTAAAATAAAAACGTTGATGGCAATTTAGTCTAAAGATCCCTCTCTCCCACCAGAAAATGACCCAGGTGGTTTGGCACCTATCGCAGACCCCTACTCCTCCCACTTTTTTGCATTTCCTTTCATCTATTTCCATGACAGGATCTATTAGCTCTTTTGAAAAGATTCCTCAGGCTGATATTAAACAGTATAGCAAACTTTCTCTGCTTAGAATGTCTTTGTTAAGGGCAGTTTTAAAATAATGCAGTTTTCACTTGGGATGCTGATTCCAGATAATGTCCTACCCTGCTTTTATTGTCCCCAAAGGAAAAAAAAAACCTTTATATCTTATATTTATACTATATATATTTTATATTACGGTATAGGTTCACCCTCTGATTGGAAATAGAATTCTAATTTACAATAGTAACACTGATTGAGCTTACCATGGGCCTCATGGTTAGCTCAGAGCTTCACACACATTATCACATCTAATCTTCATAGCAATTCTATCAAATAGGCACTGTTGTTCCTTCCATTCCAAAGATGAAGAAACTGAAGCTCAGGAAAAATACGTATCTAAGGTCCCTCAGCTATTAACGTGGAGTCAGGTTCCCAAGCCAGGCCTGCTGGTTTCCAGAAATCTAAACTCCCGATTACTGAGCTTCTCGTCTAGATTCAGTGTTTTCGAATAGCTCCTGGTTCATGGTTTTATGATAACCTGCATCCCTAAGACTATAAATGGAGAGATGGTGTGGCAGCCATGGAGGGCGCTTTGCAGGCCTCCTGTCAAGAGAGACCCTGTGGAGAAGAGCATCATTGCCTGACAGACTCCAGCTGCCATATCTTCCAGATTCACACAGAGTTCACAGGCAATGTCGCTGCTGGGGCCACCCTCTCCCCAGGCTGTTCCCACCCAATGACACAGCACAGCAGGGGAACTAGAGCCAGGCCATTCCTGCCTGACAGGGGACCTCTCTGATGGGCAGTCTGTGCTCTGGGGCTCCCCTTCACTGAGAAAGTGAGACATTCTCAGAGCTGCGCTGTCAGCTGAGGCTTTCCCTACCCACCCCTCCTTCCTTTCTCTCTCCTTCCACAGGGGTTCAACCTGTCTCCTGGTCTGAAGGCCCCCCTGCCCGCTCCTGTCCCCCTCCCCCTTTATCCTTCTCAGAAATTTCCCCCACGACATCTCTCACACTTCTCATTCTGTCTTGGCGTCTGCTTCTCAGAGGACCCAAACTGATATGAATGATGTGATGTACCCAGAGACACTGATCTTAGCAACTTAACCCCAGGCATTTTATATATAAATGAGACAAAATTGGCACTGTATGTATATAAATGGTACATAAATATTATCACTTATAGGTAAACTTTTAAAATAAAATTTTCCAGATAGATTTTTCCATATTAGGCAATGATTCCCAAATAAACATGTTTGTACACTGAACTAGCCCACATTTAAAATCCAGATTTTATCAATATGTTATTTTTACTGAACAGCATTGCCATAATGGCACCTGCAGTAACAGTACCCATCTGCCATCTTATTTAAAAAAAAAAAAAACTCTTTGAGCTCACTGTCGCCAGTTTATCCTGAAATCCTTATTTAGGCCTCAGGTGGCCACTGTTATGGGAAGTTGCAACTCCAGCAACTATTCAGTTCCCTTGAGGTTTCTGTTTGTTCAGGTCTTGGCCTTCTCTGTTGGCCTGTGCCAATTAACTGGGACGGCACAGTGTGTGGCACCAGATTTTTCTTCCTTTCCTATAGTAGTTGAATTTCTTTCTGAAAACATTGTTAGTGTCAGCAAAAAAACCCAGGAAACTTGATTCAACCCTGGCCCTGCCTCCTGCCTGTGCCTGGAATCTGTGATGCTGGGCAGAGGAGAACCCAGCATGTAAACAGAGTAGACAAGAACCTGGCCTCTGTGATGGGACATGTGGCCAAGTCACACGAATCCATTATTCATGCCCACATGTATGAATGCACAATGTAAAACTGGTGGCAAGATGAAGAAGAAAAGGCCCTAGAGAAAGAAAAACACAGACTGCGGAGGGCTGAGAGGCAAGTGAAGAATTACACAAAGTAAATTCACCTTATCTGTATTCTGCTCCATGTAGTTTAAGGTATACTCATCAGCATTGAGCAAACGAAATAGGTAACCATTCACATTCACTGTGACTCCAATGTACAGGTCCTCAGCCTTGATATATTCAGATAGTTCACTTTTAAAGACTTCTTGCCCAGGCTTCTTAACGCGACTTCTTTTCAAGAACATCCCACCGGTAATTCCTATAGAAAAATAGAAAAGTTCATGAGCAGCCTTTATTCTTAAAAGAACCATCTGACTTGCCTTCAGAGTTACTTTATCTTCAAGCACAGACCACCATATAAGTTACCTGTGAACTAATATTGCCTATTGTTTTGGACTTAAGGGAAGAATGAGGCAGTGAGTGAAGGAGTAAGAATTCCTAGGCAAGGGTGTTCAAGACAAAAAGCAAAGCCGGGCATGGTGGCATGTGCCTGCAGTCCCAGCAACGCAAGACGCTGAGGCACGAGGATCGCTTGAGGCCAGGAGTACAAGACCAGCCTGAGCAGCATAGCAAGATTCCATCTCAAAAAAAAAAAAGAGAGAGAGAGAAAATGATGTGTAATTCTAGCCTTTTTTTCTCTCTCTCTACTCTCTTCCCAGTCCAATAAGCACTTGGCAGGGACCTCCTATATATGCCCAGCAGCATACTGGGAGTGTGGAACATCAGGAAGATACTCATCTTTAGAGCATGTTTGAACAGTACCAGTTAGAAAATTCCTCACTTGTGCATATTTCCACCTATTTGTCCCAGATGATGTCTTATATTTAATCTGACATGCAGATTAAGTAGCAAATGCCCTACTTCTGTAAAGGAGATTACTTAAGTGTTTAAAGGTAACTATGGGAGTCCCCTTAAGTCATTTTTTCCTACAGGTAAAATCCCTTTGCTTCTTTTAGTAACGCTTCATATTAGTTTCCAGAGCTGTCACCATTTCATCTGTTCTCTTCTAGACATTATTTGTTGTGACCTCTTGGAAAGTAGCCAGTAGAGTTGAACAGGGAACTCCAGCATCTTCTGATACTGAACTGAAATCTACAGACCTATAAATATAGCCTGAGACCAGATAAGCTTTTGGGCCACTTCATCCCCCTTCTCCTACCACATTCAGAAATGATAGGTGGTAAAAAGACACAGGCTTCCGAGTTCTGTCACTTACTTGCTGGGTGATCTTTAGGAGTTATTTAATCTCTCTGAATTCTTATTGGTACAATGGGAATCAGATGTGTGGAGGTCCAGAAAATGTACTTCTCAGGTCGCCTATAGTGAAGAACATAACTGATGGAAGGCCCCAGCTGTTGTGTTCTTAAATCAATCTTCAGGTGTGTGTTGAGGTCACTCTTCCCACGGGCTGCTACCAATAGATGAGTGACCAAGGCAGGGATAGTAAGACAGGCTCACTCCTACAAAACAAGGACTCCTCCAACTAGCAACTTTGCCTCAAGGACTCCCTGTCGACCTTGTCGAAATTTTCTTAGAATTTCACTGCAGTCTAAGACTCCCTCTTTCTTCCTTCCCTCTGAGCTTCACAGGTGTCAGAACTGCACTATAGTCTGACAGCTCTCCCAGCCTCTTCTGGCTCCTTCCACATTTTCCCTCACCAGCATTCCCCCTATTAAATCTCTTGCACATTTAATCCTGTCTTGGTAGTTGCTTCTCGGAGGAGCTGGACTAACACAAAATCTAACCTCATAAAGTCCTTGTAAGGATAATAGTAAGTTCTCCATCATGGCCACTGTGATTACTAGTAAGCTTGCTGCTGACTATCATCACTGCTTTCTGTTTCACACATGCTGCAACTTGTTTGGCCACATCTCCCCCATTCTAAGTGTATAGAGTTGATTTTTGACCTGTAAGAGCATGACTTATATTCATCCCTATGCAATTTCATATTTTAAGATTTGATCCATTATTCAAATCACTGTGGAGCCTTAGTTATACAAGTTATTCATTACTCATCGCTGTGCTAAGTAGCTCATATCAGCTCATAGGAGCTGAGAGTCGAATTTTCAGAGATTTTGCAAGCCAGTTTTTAAACTCTTGGCTGCTTGAAATTGGCCATGGTTGGGGTATTCACACCATGGAAACTGGCAAACAGTACAAATCAGGGCTTTTAAAATCTTTTCAAAGAGCCACTTAACCAGCACATCACTGATTATTCTTCCCAAATGCATGTCTTCAGCACAGATAAAAGTTCTAAACGTGTTGAGACAAAGAACAGGATCCTACAGTGCCATGATTGGGTAAGTCAATGGCTCTCCTCAGCAGTGACGGTGGTACCAGCATATTGCAGAGAGGCATTCTATGGGTCTGAGTGCGGGAACCTTGGCAACAACCTCAACAGACAGAAGGACCAGATAAAGATGGACCCTGACGATTGAATTTGTGTATCTGGGATTCTTGTCTTACAGCCAAACAAAAATTTTGTAAGTAGGACTATCAAGAATACAGACTTCCTCTTGGCTTGCTGGCTACAAGTAAAACTAGTGGTACCCAGACCATGAATTTGAAGCCCTTGGGTTCCACAGAGGTGCCTCAGAAGTCACAGTGGAAGTGGGGATAGTGGCAAAAAGGAAGTAACTCCAGGTCCCCTGGCCCTAAGCCAACCAAAACTGTTTCACTTCTATCATTTTAAATGTTTAGGTTCCCATTTAAGAGATTTGTAAAAAGAACTCTATTGTTCGGGTTTTTTTTTTTTTTTTTTTTAATAAAGCCTCTATTGTAGATAATCTAGGCTACAAAACCAGATCATGTTCCCTAATTTTCAACATGAAGAGACACTTAAAACATTCTCAAGAAAATACTGTGAGAAGGATATCTCTTACCTGAATTCCTCTCTATAGGTTCAAACACTGAAATGGTGTCATCACTGAGATAATATGAAATAACAAACATCCTGTCCAAGTCAACACATTTGTCTGTGACTAGTTTTGCAAAAAAACGGAGTATATTGCTTTTGAAGCCATAGCTAAATGGAACAGAAATGAGAGTTACAGCATTATACAGGTAATCTTCCACATATTATGTTTTTAAAAGTCTGCAAAAGGTATAATATGGTTTTAATATAGTAGGCATAAACTGTCCAAAGTGAAAGAGTTCAACCGTCTTCTAATTAAGGTTCTAAATCTAAATGCAGAGGAATTTTCTCAGTATATTAAGATATCTCTGATTCTTCACATGTCCTGGGTAACACATTGGGAAAATGAACCCAAAACAAACGTCATAAACACACTGCTCAAACCAGCTGCGCTAACTGGCTGTTCTCTAATGACGAGGCTAGTCACCAATCACAATAATCATGCTGGAAAGAAGAGCAAGCACCTAGCCCTACTGCGTGGGCAATCCTGGGCTCTGCCAGTATCTGAGGCTACCTCCCCCATTCACCACTCACTGTCTCATGCCCTTTGCTTTTCTGTTTTCCAGCCCACATCCTCCCCTCTCTGACTCACTCCTCCAGCTCCCCAGCATCCCCCCAACTTTCTTCAAGAGACAAATTAACTTTTCCTTTTCAAATGCTATAACACATAGGATGGACCCACCTTTTTTTTTTTTTTTAATAGCGCTTATCACTCATATTGTAAGCCATTACAAGTCTGTTTTCCAAGGACAAAGACTGTCTTATTAACCATTATCTAATATAATACTTTTTACATTATAAGTATTCAATAAATGTTTATGGAAAATTGTTATGAGATCTGTATTGATTGGAATTTGCACTCAGAATTTTATGCATAGATAAAGATAGGATGAAATTACAGAATTAAAAGTTACCAAAGTTGATTGCCTGGTCACTGAAGAAACTGATTTCTGATCTGTCAGCAGAAGCATGTCTGCGGATATCAGCTAGTGAAAGGTGGACTTTGTAACAAACAGTAAACCCTTGGAGAGGTCTTTGATAACTAAAATCATTACCCCAGGGAGATACACAGGATAATAAACCATGTCCTCTGTCACAACTCTATGCACAGAAGTCTTCCCTTGCAGGGTCTCCTAGGCTGAAAATCATTCTTTCCTTGTGTCCACAGTGATTAGAAAAATAAAACAAGTATTTCTGACTTGCAGAGGCAAAAAGTGCTTTTCTCTGCCCCTTTCTCGGGCTGTACAAGAATGATGGCTGAGAAAGGATGGCACCAAGATTCCTACGCTTGAGGCCCCATGTGAGATGGTATGCAGCAGTTTGGAAAGCTCACCCCAAAACAGCCTGAGCAAAGCAGCCAGGTCTGCATGGCTGTTTTCTCAGTACCGAGTTCCCAGGCTTCAGACAGACCTCATATAGTGCGTGGGGCGCGGGGAGAAGCTATGCCTTGTCAACCATCTTCGCTGGTACATAATTGGGTTTGTAAGTAACAAATAGATTTGGTAGCCCCTCTCACACAAAAAAGCCATAACATTTCAGATACCCGAAATATCACTGAAACAGGATAGGTCTAACTTCAGGAAAAGAAATATTACTGTAAATTTAACTTCTTATAATTTATAAGTGTATATGTTAAGTGTGGGTTCTTCACACATTCAATATGCCTTTTTTTTTTTTTTTTTTTTTTACCTAAATCTAGTGTTCTGGAGATCTCATCAATCGAGAATATAATCTACTCAATAAAATTTTCAGACTAGCAGTTCACAAAGTTTATTGTATATAAAAATCATGGCCGGGCGCGGTGGCTCAAGCCTGTAATCCCAGCACTTTGGGAGGCCGAGACGGGCGGATCACAAGGTCAGGAGATCGAGACCAGCCTGGCTAATACGGTGAAACCCCGTCTCTACTAAAAAAATACAAAAAACTAGCCGGGTGAGGTGGCGGGCGCCTGTAGTCCCAGCTACTCGGGAGGCTGAGGCAGGAGAATGGCGTAGACCCGGGAGGCGGAGCTTGCAGTGAGCTGAGATGCGGCCACTGCACTCCAGCCTGGGTGACAGAGCGAGACTCCGTCTCAAAAAAAAAAAAATCACCTGGGGAGCTTGTTAAATATACAGAATCCAGAGTCCCATCCCCAGAGATATGGGGGGATTCAGTAGCTAGCTCACATCTCCAGAAACCTGCATTATTAATAAGCACCCCAGAAGATTCTGATAAGGTGGTCACCTGGGCATACTTTGAGAAGCACTGCAAGTGTCTTCAGATATTTCCCTAATAACTACTTCTCAAACTTCCCAGAATATTCTTTTTTATCACAATACTCCAGCTGACCACCTACTTATACCTCCTGCATCAATTGTAAGGTCACACCCAATTTAGCTCTATATAGACTTGTACTCTTGGATGGTTGTTTTAACAATGTGTTTGTTCCCGTTGTCCCCAAACAAATTATAAATTCCTAGGTCCAGAAGCCATGGCTTAACTTTTTCTATGTACAGCTCGGAGTTATCTAAAATCATTATGTCAAATTCTTCTCCCATTTTCTCTCGAATCCATTTCCATTAGGTTTGCTCTACCTAAACTGCTCTTGTAGAGGTCAACAATGATCTCCACAATGCCAATTCCAATGCTTAATTTTTTGTGCCTATCTAACTTAACCAATCAGCAGCAACCGGCACAAATGATCACTCCTTCAGTGTTACTCTTGCTTCACTGGCTTCCGGGATCCAGCATTCTCTTGGTTTTGCTCCTACCTCCTTGTTTGCTCCTTTTTAGTCTCCTTTGTTGGTTCCTCCTTTTTTCCCCAAGTTCCTAATTGGGGATGTTTCAGAGTTTATTCCTTGGTCATGCTCCGCTCTATGTATATTCACTCCCTTGGTGATCTCATGCAATCTCAAGGCTTTAATACCATTTGGTATCATGGCTTTAAATACCATCTACATGCTGATGGTATCCATGTCCACCTATCTTCTGAACCCTATACTCACACATGTATTCAATTGCCTACTTGGTATTGCCACTTGATATCTAATAGACATCCCAAACTTAACTCATTCTAAAACTGAACTTCTACTCTTGTCCCTAAACCTATCCCATCTCCAGTCTTTCTCATCTCAGTGGATGGCAACTCCACCCTTCTAGTTGCTCAAGCCCAAATTTTGAGTCATCTTAACTCCTCACTTCTTTCATACTTCATAACCAGTTTGTCAGGGAATCCCACTGGCCCTACCCTCAAAATATTTCCAGGATCCACTATTTAATTTCATCACTTTCACTGCACTCACCCAGATCTGAGCCACCAAAACTTTTCTCTTGGATTACTGCAGTAGCTTCTTACCCGGTCTTAATTTCCACCATTGCCATCTATAGTCTGCTCTCAACATTACACTGGAATGATTCTTTTAAAAAGAAAATCAGCTCAAGTCACTTCTCTGCTCAAATTTTCTAATGGCCCCCTTATCACTCAAAGTCAAAGCGTCCTTAAACAGTCCGTAAAGCCCTGTGTACCCAGTTCCCCATACACTCTCATCTCTTCTCCATGTGCTCTGCCCTTTACTCATCTACTCCATCCATGTCGGCCTCCCGGATGCTCCTTGAATATCCCAAGCACACTTCTTGCTCAGGGCCTTTACACCGACTGTTCCTTTTGCCTGGAGCACATTTCCTCTCCTCAGTAAAGTCCCTCAAGACCACACTATTTAAAATTGCAACCAAGAACGTTCCTCAGCCCCATACTCCCAATCTGCCTTTATTCTTTCCACAGCAACTTAATACCTTCTTTATTTTTTATGGTACTTAACATCTTGTAAATATTTCGTAATTTACTTATGTATTAATTGATGGTCCACCTCCCAGAACTAGAATATAAGTTCCACGATGGCAGGCCTTGGTGCCTATTTTGTTCGCTGATGTATCCCAAACACTCAGAACATTGCTTGGCACACAGCAGGGATTCAAGAAATAGTTGTTCACTAAGATAATGAATGGCTCATCCAGGGCTATACACCTACTAAAAACCTCAAATATAGCTACAGCTATAGAATCTTATGGTTGGAAGACACATGAAGGCTTATTTTTATTAATGGGGAAACATTTTTAAAAGAAGGAAAAAAATGACTGGTGGGGAAAGCAGATGGACAATATCTGTAACAAGACAGAGATGAAGATTAAACCACGAATTTTTGGATGCTATATGGCTATGACTGGCACAAGTCTGGGATAATAACCCTCCCAGTGAGAAGTCATCTGTCTCTTCTATCCATGATTAAGAACTGGATGAGTGAACATTTATTCTATTTGCTCACTTCTTCATCCATTCCTTCTCTTCTTAGACAAACTATTGATCCCCAAATATATAGTCAGCACCAGCTCTTATGGAAGCAATAAAGCTGGCCCCTGCCCTCAAGGAGCTCTTGGTCTAAAAGGAGCCCACAAATTACATAAACAAGTCCTTAACATGCACTGTTATATGCATAGATTCTGTCGAAAGACAGGTAAATTCCAGAAGTCAGATTTCCCTGGGTTCAGTTCCTAGTTCAACTAAAAATTAGCTGTGTGACCTTGAGGAAGTTGCATGGCCTCTCTGAGCCTCAGTTTTCTCATGTAAAAAATGGGTTTTACAATAACATTATCTACTTTCCAAAGATTTGATAATTAAATTAGATTAAGTATTGTAACATAGCACATAGTAACCACTAATGGCTTATTATGAGTAATCAGCAATAGTAATAACATTATTATTAGAGATATAATCAACAGAGTACTGTGGGCACACAAAGAACAGAGTAACTAATTCAGCCTGGTGCAGCAAGAAAGATATTATCCTGGCTCTCCCTCCTCAGACTAGACAATCTGCCCAGCAGGCTACCACAGTGATATCTACCCAGATAATAAAGAAGATCTTTATATCCACCAAAAGCTCATATGCTTTAATCTGAAACTATTCCCTCCAATGACTCATAGATCAGCATTAACCTCACAACAATAGCACCAAGTACATTTTTAATAGCAATATATATATAATCAAAGTGTCATGTACAATTTCATGTCTCAATTCACAGTTTATTTGTATTTTAAAAAACTATTCTTTGTATGCTTTGTGAAATCATCTTCCTTAGGTTCTTACAGTTTTAAAACCTTGGGTTATTCAAACTCATGTATAAGTCTCCAGCTGAATGTGCTAGTTACTATGGAAACATGGTCCCTGTGTGAGAAGAGCTTGAGGAAAGTGTATTCCTGGCACAGATTGAGCAGTGGACAGAAAGAACAAAATGAGAGACATTTGTGCCTACACTACCACCCTTCAGCCATGAAAACATGACAAGAACATAGAATACCATCTACAGTCAGTGTTCTGTGGGCAAGTTGACCCAATGTAGACAGAAAGAGGGACTAAATCAACTACTCACAAAGAACGGTTTTCCCCTGGGTTCCAGAAGCAACACCCTGGATAATATTTCATCTTGTTTACTTATAAGAAAAATTCCCTCTCCTTTTACAATAGGGACATTCTTTCTGCCCACCTCCTTCGGGTGGCTGTCCTTAAAAACAGAAGTTAGTCATCAAAAGTCCTACCCTGGAACCTCACCTAAACACTGTTCTCGATAAGGGAGGACAGAGTATAAGCTGGCAACCCTCTTATGTGATAAAAATCAGTGGTTCTCAAACACTGGTGTGTCTCAGAATCCCCCGGAAGACTTGAGAAAACTCAGAATGTTGAGCCCCTTCCCCAGAGCTTCTATCTCAGTCAATCTGGGTGGGGGGAGGCACAATAATTAGCATTTCTAAAAAGTACAGGGACCATTCCTGAGAAGCATCAAATCTAAAACTTAAAAATAGAACCCTAAAGTCTTTAAAAATAAAAGATTATTTCTAGAAAGACGAAGGACATCATGTCATAGCAAAGGCAGACTTTTAGACATTCTATATAATTCTTAATTGATTTTTACCACTTTTACAACTATAACACAACTACTGTTCTCTCTCCTTCGAATGTTCTACAACAACACCTGACCCCAATCAATTTTATGAAATTCAGGATGTCTTTTTTTTTTTTTTTTTTTTTTTTTTTTTTTTTTTTTTTTTTTTTGAGACGGAGTCTGGCTCTGCCGCCCAGGCTGGAGTGCAGTGGCCGGATCTCAGCTCACTGCAAGCTCCGCCTCCCGGGTTTACGCCATTCTCCTGCCTCAGCCTCCCGAGTAGCTGGGACTACAGGCGCCCGCCACCTCGCCCGGCTAGTTTTTTGTATTTTTTAGTAGAGACGGGGTTTCACCGTGTTAGCCAGGATGGTCTCGATCTCCTGACCTCGTGATCCGCCCGTCTCAGCCTCCCAAAGTGCTGGGACCACAGGCTTGAGCCACCACGCCCGGCCCAGGATGTCTTTTTCTTCTCCTTCTCCTAGACTTACCACATTCCCTTTATCAATGTTTCTCCCCCAGGATCTCCTGATCCATTATTTGCCTCACACAGGACTGCAACCCTTAGCCCACATCCTATTCAAGCACCTACAATGTTTCCCCACCACTTTACCACTTTTCCCCTGACTTCTTTCTCCAGGGCTTGCTCTCCCTGCAGAAGCAAAAAGTAGCCAAGGGCAGTGTCTACATTCTATCTGCATGATTTACAGGCAGGTTTTTCTCCATGTCTATTAGGAATACTTCTGGAAGTCCATCATTTAAAATTATATTCAGCCAAGTGAGAAATCTATGGTTACTGAACTCAACCAACCTCTCAAGTGAAAACAACAACATTAATCACCAAGTAACATTTTTAAAAACACGTATAAATCCTTGAAATCTCTATAGCAGGGGTTGGCAAACCACAGTCAGTGAGCCAAATCCACCAGGCCACCTGTTTTTATATGACTTTTGAGATAAGAATGGTTTTTACATTTTGAAATGGTTGGCAAAATCAAAATAAGAGTAATATTTTGTGATATGTAAAAATTATATCAAACTTGAATGTCAGTGTCCATAAAAAAAGTCTTATTGGAACACAGTCACACGACCATTTACATTCTGTCTGTGGTTGCTTTCACGCTACAAAGGCAGATCTGAGTGGTTGTGACAGACACCGTATGGCCCACAAAACCAAAAATATTTCCTATCTGACCCTTTAAGAAAGAGCTTACTAACTCCTACTCTACATCTTTCCCATCTTCGGGAGACAGACATATAGATAGATATGGAAAGGCAACATAGATTGGAGATAATATTACTTTAGGGGCCTCCAGATGATACTTACTAAAATAAGCACTCAAGTAAGAACCTGTTAATACGTGCATGTTAATCAACCTCATTAAAAGCCTATAATAATGTCTCCCCGGACTTGCAATTAGATGAGCTGCGTGACATCTGTTTTGTCATGAGAACTATGTTATAAACCCCAAACACATTTGGGAAAGATCAGACTAAAATCATGGTTCCCTCAAGCACCTGTCTTTTTCCATAAACTTCTTGAAGTTCCTCCGATGAGGTGTGGGCTTGAGGCCTATGCAGGTACGGAGAGAATCCTCTTCAGAACCAAAACCGTTGTAAGGTGGAAATTTCCTTTCTATTTTTGGAGGAGGAGAAGGAGGCTTGCATGAAACTGAGGTAAAGTTCTCTAGAACAAAACAAAGGCAAACAAAACATCAATATTTTTATTGCCCTGATTATGGCTGTTTTGAAAGGTTTGTTATGTTTTCAAGATCAACATGGAGATCTTTGTAGACTATTTTAAACTCTTTCAAACAAAACACAGCAAAATCCTGTGAGAGTACGTTTCAATCATGTTTACAAAAACCATGGAACTCAATAATCACCATTGGTTCAAAAGTTAAAAAAAAAAAAAGAATCTATGTCAAATAAGTAAACGTTTATATTTTGTCATCACATTCCCATTTCTGAATATTTTTTGTTCTCCTCTGATTTTTCCAATAATATGAAAATTCATACTTGAAACTTTATGCCACTCATTCCATATTTTAACCTGTAATTTAGCCCTCTCCTATCTCAGTCAACACTCACTAATAAAATGCTTTTCCAAACAGGACTTATTCCTCACTATTCACCTTTATCCTTCCCCATCCACCATCTCCTCCTACTGCACCCTCTATTTGAGTACCCTCCATTGCCTCCAAATCAACTCCAGGTCATAGTATTTCCCTATGAAGTTCAAAAACAAACACCAAAATAAAACTTTCCTCTCACCAGCCACAGCCCCAGGTAGCTTTTGTTAAGCCCAAGAAAAGACTACAATTGCACTCAAATGCAATGAAGTGAACAAACAAAACAGAAAGAGAAAAAACTTTTAAAATAGCCAACTGCCTACTCTCTCCAAGGGAGTGCTATGCGGTAAATACTGTTGATTTTATTTATATACTTATCATCTGTGAGGAAAGAGAGATGGAGAGAGAGCTGGTAAGATATTTGTAATAGCCTAGGAGCTTTCAGGTACTCATTTGCGAGGCTGTACAATCTCAGAAGCAACCGTGCTCTCCAGAGCAAGGAACATATTGACCCGATCTATCCAAGTCACTGTGTTTGTCTCCAACATAAATGGCAAAAAAGATGCCAGATCTTTCCTAAAATGAAACAAAACAAACTCCCACAGAATCTATTTTCTACTTCTTCTCTAAGCTTCAGTATGACATAGGTGTTTTCAATCATGAATGAAAGGAGTTCTACATAAGCAAATATTTCCTTTTCCACTGTCGAAGTTCTCATAGAGGAAGAGTACAAATTTTAGTGTACACCTCTAGAAGAGAAAATGGAGATCAATTTTTCATCCAAGACAACCTAACTCTTAATATTAAGGTGGTTTTTTTGTTTTTGTTTTGTGTTTTAACTGATGATCAAAAGGCTAAGAGCTTGAGGCCATTTCTAACTCTTGTTGAAAACATTTTCAGCTTTCATATTTCCTTAGACTTCCTAGCAGCCTTTGTGTGAAATTTCCCCAAACACAATCCCCAAAAGAGTCTTGTTACATCCTAACAGAGACTGCTTACAGCAGACAGGTTTATAAAGGTGACTCAGTGAAAGGGGGGAGCCAGTCTGCCTGTACAGAAGTGACTTGTGAGCTTCAACTATTACTATTTTTGTGGTGATTAAAGAAAAGTCTTGGAAATAAAGAGGAGAGTTCAAATCTTGGAATTGGGCAGAATTGCAGTAGATTCTATCATTGCTAACCATTACATCTAACGCACCACTGTTTGGTCTTTCATTTCAGGAAGAGCATCATAACCATGGCAGGAGAGCTCTATGTGATTACTAAAAAATCTGGGCCTGAGCAGTTTCTTAAAACAGGAGACATATACATACAACTCTACGTACCAATCTAAGCAGTCTAACCAAAAGAGGACACATATTGAATCTCAAAGTAATTAGGACTGCATTCTACACTTCCCCCCAGAATTACAGGGCTTATAACACACTGTTGTTTTCTCAACCATATAATTTTTGCAACAGATTTAAGTAACAAAAGAACCAATTTAGAGCTTTCCTCTGCACCCACAGTGCCATCTAGTGTATAAAAGCTGAGAACTTTTCCACTCCATCATGCCTGACTTTTATACCACCACATACATCTTTTTGGAAACTCTGGCTCAAGATCCAACTTTAAATTCCACTTCTCTGGGTAATTTGCATACATTCACAAAGCTCTGAACTCACAGCTGAATGACAAGTTTCTTCACTTTGGTTTTCCATCATCCCAGCATCCCGCATGTTTTAGGTGTTCAAAAATATTCATTGAATAAATGAAAAAGTATACATTTTTGTACAAAGCATCTTCCCCAATGTCTTAAGTTGGCATTCTGCTAGATCCTGAGACAGATATATCTTTTAATTATCTGATTTCTCTAATTCCAAGTGACTTGTCAAAACATATATATATATATATATATATATCTCGAACGTCCACCCATGGTTGACGAGATTCCAACAAATTGGCAGAGAGATGATACATATTACAAAGGAGTCTTAATGTTTCTTCGTGGTGATTTTCTATTCCCCATCTCAGTGGGAAAGACTACTGGGAAAAGCCTTCAATTTCATTGCTTATGTTCTAGTAGCCTAGAGATGAATACAGGTTTTGGGAGGCTAGAAGCTTAAATAATTTGGGCGAAGCTCTTCTAGACGAAGAATGTCAAACTACTAAGACAAAATTAGGCCAGGGCCTTGGATTGGGACCCCTGGAAAGGAAGACCTCTAAAGATTATGATTCATTAGCTTCAAGGTAAATCCACTTGTACTTGTATTCAATACCCACATCAAATGATTTCAATGAAACCTATATTCGTGAATCACATCATGTTAGAGCTATAAAATCTTTAAGAATCCTCCCATCTCAATCATCTTCATTTTATATGGGAAGCAAAAAAAACAAAATTGTTAGGTCCATCAGGACCATGTGATGAGACCAGAAGCCAATTCTATCCTATTGATGCAATTTTAAGTGTCCAGTTCCCTCAAATAATCATTAAACACTCATCTTAAATGTTCTGCTGTTCCTAAAAATTCAGAGATGGCCAGAAATGACTCCACAAAATTAAAGGTCTTTAAGATTTTTGTTCAATCTAAGTATAGCCTAATAAGTGTTCAAAAGCAATGAGAATGAACAGTCTTGTTACTAGTTTCATTGTCCCAGCCACTAAGAAAAAATAAGAAAGTCCACTGATAGACAAATAACAACCTAAAGCAGAAATTCCTACGTATGAACAGTTTACATTTGATCCCTGTCCTTTTAGTGAAAGAAACACCTGCTGGAACCCCTAGAGCCTTTTTCAACCTTCCTGCTATAGGAAAGATCAACAGACCTCCATCTGCCGGTCGGTGTTCATTCACATAAAATAATGTGGGAGTGACATGCTACAGCCCAGCAGGCAAGCCAGGGCCAGAGGGATGGCCAAACTGCCTGATGGAGGGGGTCACACTGCACTATTAAAGAGAAGAAATCTATGGAATCACCTTCTCCTTAGAATCCTTAAAAGTATGAAGGAATCATCTTAAGAGATTGAGTTTTACACAGGAGCTCAAATGTCTCTTGGAATTCTAGCAAGCCCTCCACTTCTACATAAATAGAAAGGTTATCCATGTACCTTTCTTGGGACTGTGGCCAACTCCTTGTCTTTGCCATTTTTTCTCCCCCCAAAATATGTTGGGGTATCATCACACAGGAGAAGGTACTAAAGCACCAAGGCTGCATTCTGCGTTAGAAGTCTTCCCCGACTTCCTGCTAGAGAGGCCCCTAGCTGTGTTGCTGGTACTTGTCAGATCCTTCCTGCGTGCTGCACAGTGGAGACACCCAGGTTTTCTACTGAACGCAATAATTGACAAGGGAGGAAATGTGACCACGATTATTGACAGAACCACAATGATTGATGGGACTTTGTCCTGGTTTGGGTTTTAAGGATACCGAAACATAACACATGTAATTTGGTCAGTTTAAAAAATTGCTGGGACCGGATGAACTATAAATAAAATTAAAATGGCAGAAATAACTGTATCTAAGTAACATTAAGGATATTAATTTCACCTTACCAAAAAATCAGGAAAAACAAACGCAAAGATTATCAGAGAATACTGATTCATTCTCCCCTCCACCTCATCATAGATATAATTTCTAGTCTTTACTTACATTAAGTACACTGTTGTAACTTAAGAAATGTTGTGTAATAATAGTGTCTGTTAAATGGGATATTTTAACATATGTTATGAGAAATATAAAAAGTCAGTGTGACTATGAAATGCATCATAATTTTGCATTTGCATAATTTTCTGTTTAAATGCATAATGCTCATGTTATATTAGCTTTAGAGGCACAGAGTACTTTTTTTTACATAATACAATTAGTCCACAGAGTGAACAAAAGAAGTGAACAGAAAGAAATTAAGCACAAGGACTCAACTGAAATGGACCATAGGACATTTGAAGCTGGTACATTTACCCAGGATGACTCGATTTGGAGCACAACAAGGAATTCACATTGCCTCCAAAAATTTTCTAGAGAAGCCGTTAAGACCCTAACAACATACTAAGTCTCACCACTAGGACATTCATTTTCCCAAATTCAACTTTCATATTCTCACCAAGCTGACAGACAAACATCAACCAAAAGTTGGACTTTATGTTTAAGGAATCATACAATGCTTTGGAACATTTACCACGTCCTTTATATTAAGGTAATCATCAGGTGTAAGTTATGGTTTTTGGTGACTCATCTTGATATATACATTTAAATTTTCATTCTATACTAAAGACTTATGGATTCCAAACAGGCATCTACATTTATTAAAGGCCAAATTCTTTTCCCATAGTCTAAGGGCCACCAGCAGCTTCTCCAGAGCAGCTGCCACCTACACATTCCTGGCTGCTTCTTGTCCACAGTCCCCAAGGCAAATATGCCCAACTGTGTCCACTGAAGGGGACTAATTTTAGAAAATAAAATAAAAAGAGGTCACCAATTTGGCCCCAGTAGGGCCCATACATTTTGACTAATCTGGCATGCAGATGCAGTGCAACAAATTCCCCTAATGAACCTAAGAGTAAAACTGAAAGCCTTTTTTACTCTAACCCCTTTGTGTGCTTGATGTGCCTTCTCTCACAATATAGAGACTCCCAGAAGGCCAGGAATACTACACAATGCAGACAACAAGACACATAGTATGGCTTCATCTCATTCTAGAGACAAAGCACCTTGTCTTTTAAGAAGCTGCGGTTGCACTTGGCTTCCATCTCACCCCTCGGGGAAGTGTGTTCATATGAATACTCCAAGGTCCAGAGAGAAGTACAGGACTAAGTACCCCCTATCCCAACTCCAGTCCCAAACTGGGAGGTCAGCAAGTCCCATCAATTTCTAGCAGCAGCAGGTACCTGGAGACTCAGGTAGAGGGGAGTTTAACAAATGAGGGTTTATGTTTTAGATTTCACGTCACATCCTCCACCAGCTTCCAAGACACTTGTAACACGGTGTCACACGCTGCAGGTCTCAGTTCCCCTTCCAGCCTAGAAACCTCTTATGCAATTCTGTATCTCCTAAGTCTACTACAATGACCTACATATAGTAGGTGCTCAATCAATAGCTCATTTTCATTCTGAACTGAACTAACCTTATTGGAACGGAGTTAATGTCTGAGAAGAGAGAAGCTTAAGACCTGGCTGAGCCTCACCAGGAAAGGGAGAGCAAAACTAGCAGAAGAGAATTCCCTTGATAACTCAATTAGGTATACCCATTGTGGTAAGAATTAAGTGAAAAGAAAAGCATTCATTTTCCATTTTGATCGCTCAGCCAAAACATTTACCCCATACCGGAGTGGGGCAGAGGACTATAAAGGAAAATGGAAGTCCCTGGCATCAGGCAGACAAGTTCAAATCTTGGCTCACTCTTTGCTCACTGCATAACCTTGGACAAATGAGCCCCCTTTAAGTCTCAGTTTTTTTCACCTCTAAAATGGGGATCATGAGCCTACCCATAGAGAATTGTTAGGAATATATAAGACAACAAACAGCTGGAAGATAGCAAATGCACAATAAGTGGTAGCTATTATGAGCCTAGCATTTGAAACTCCAAAGTAAAATCTTAACTGGGGAACAAAGAGTTTAATTTTAAAAATATTTTAATTGACATACGTACACTTACCAATTCCATATTTAGACTTATAATAAGACTTTGTAAATTCATCACAGTCATAAAGGAGCACTTTTCTTCCCCACACATTGATGGTGACTCCGAGGGACAGGTCACTATCTTTGTAAAACTCTTGGTCTACTTCTCCTAGCTAATAAAGACAAAGGAACATAGCATTGGCACCATGGACCCTCCAAAGAACCAGGAACCCCTTCCCAGAGAAAAAAAGGAAATTAAAAATAAAACTTCAGTCTTTAATAACTAAATTTTAAAAATCAAATAAAAAAGCAACCAGTTGATGTTAATGTTCTAAAGTATTATTTTAGCACTGTAGTATTATACTTACAAACTGCAATGCAATGCATATATTTATATAGACATTTCAGCATGCTTATTACTAATAAACAGCAGTACAATGTATATTTATGTAATCATCGATTTCATTCACAATCTCACAAGAAAAGAGTATGTAACTCGCCCCACTATTCAGGTTCCAAAGAAGTCACCCTAGAAACAGGTAATAAAATGTGAGGTTCCTTCCCTTATATCTATCCATCAGGAAGCCATCCGCTTGGTTCTTTATAAAGTCACCATACAAATTGAGAACCGCTCGATCTGTTATCTGGCCTGGTTGATAGACTCTAGGTGGGCAATTCTGGAAGACAAAATCAAAACAAGGTGTGGTAGGATTTAATCCATTCCCTTTCTTACTATAACTCCAGGGCTGGCATACAGGTGGCACTCAATGAATATTTGTTGAATGAATGAATAAAATGAATTAACTGATGTTGGCACACTGTAAATGTCAGGTATGTCATTATTATTTTATATTTAGCCTATTTTTCAAAGTCATTCTAAAAACAGGTTTTTCTGGCACCTCCTGGTTGCCTGCTATGCGTATCCCAGGGCTCACTCTGGGACAAACTGTGCCTCCCCTGCCTCCAAGCACACGCAGTAGGGCTTCTGGCAGTGGGCTCAGAGAATCTGGAAAAACCTCCCGTGAAGACTGAATGGTCAGCAGTTATTTGCCTCGGAAATCAGTGTTATGGTAACCTTTCCATGTGCACTAAGAAGATACTTTACCCAAATAAGAAAGAAAATATAACAGAGCTTTTGAAAAAGCCTTTATGTTTTTAAGTGTCCTTATAGGTGTTTACAGGTCCTTTGATGGTGTTTTTTTGTTTTTTTGTTTTTTTACTATGTTACCACATTTTAAAGACAGGGAAATAAGCTCAAAGAGGTTATGCGATTTGCCCAAGGTAGCACAACTATTAAGGGGCAGACTCACAACTCTAATCCAGGCCTGGGAAGTTTCTGCTGCCCCCAAATTACATGAGCTCTCAAATGGCCATAAATATTTATAGAAATCAATCTGACAACTCTTTTTAATATCAAATAAAATGCAAAAGTCATCACTGCCACTAGCTAGTGGCTAGTTGGTGACCAGTTGCTACACTCAGAAAAGGCACTTTGGTTTGTAAATTTGCATGTGTATGTTTGTGAGTGCATGTGTACATGCACATGTAGGTGCATGTGTATAGTATGTGTTTGTATTCACAACCTAGACCAAACCATGGGCTCTCCCCAGTAGTCTGTAGTGCCCCGTCCAAAGCCACAAGCAATTCTTTTACTAAGGAGTCATTTAGTTTCATAAAACTGGATATGAACTCAATGATGAATAGGTGCTTTCTCTTACATTTGACTTTTTTCCTTTACTTGCCTTAACTTCAATGTTCCAACTCTAATTGATCATATTCTCTGTATTACTTTCACAGATGTATATTAATAGAGAGCACAAAATGAAAGTTTTCTAAATACCTGCACCAGTGCATGGTTATTATCATCACATAGTCATAACACACAACATTCCAAACAGTGACTCTAGTCTCTTGACTCACAAGCAAATTCAGAAAGTGGTTATGTCCACTGCTCACCTTGGGCAGCTTACTCCTCCGGAGGAACATTTTTATAGCATCTCGGCCTGAGTTGTGTGGAAGCAATTCTTTGATTTCAATAGTATCATCACACAAGAAGTAATGCAGGATGAGTTCTCTACGGTCTCCAAACATTGAGACTGAGTCATCCCACAGGCAGAAGAAACACAAAATCTTGCCATGATACTGGAGGAACTGTTTCAGGGTGTCAAGGGATTCGTAGGGACGTAAGGGCTCTACGTGTTCTAGAACCTGCAAATGGAGAAAATGTCAGTAATAGTTGCAGGGTTTGCATAATCACTTCTAAGATACACACAATCAAGTGACAAATATATAAAGATATATTTTTGGCCAGGTACGGTGGCTCATGCCTGTAATCCCAGCATTTTGGGAGGCCAAAGCGGGAAAATTGCTTGAGTTCAGGAGTTCAAGATCAGCCTGGGCAACATGGCAAAAACACAACTCTTTTTCTTTTTTTTTTTTTTTGAGACGGAGTCTCGCTCTGTCGCCCAGGCTGGAGTGCAGTGGCCGGATCTCAGCTCACTGCAAGCTCCGCCTCCCGGGTTTACGCCATTCTCCTGCCTCAGCCTCCCGAGTAGCTGGGACTACAGGTGCCCGCCGCCTCACCCAGCTAGTTTTTTGTATTTTTTTAGTAGAGACGGGGTTTCACTGTGTTAGCCAGGATGGTCTCGATCTCCTGACCTCGTGATCTGCCCGTCTCGGCCTCCCAAAGTGCTGGGATTACAGGCTTGAGCCACTGCGCCCGGCCAAAAACACAACTCTTAAAAAAAAAAACATTAGCCAGGTACGGTGTTACACGCCTATAGTCCCAGCTACTCAGGAGGCTGAGATGGGAGAATTGTTGACCTCAGGAGGTCAAGGCTGCAGTGAGCTATGTTCACACCACTGCGCTCCAGCCTAGGCAACAGAACATGACCCTGTCTCAAAAAAAAAAGAAAACAAAAAAGATCTACTTTTCTATAGACTATTCTGTGATTTTGTTTTTTAATTTCAACTATGACATAGATACATATGCATCTATAACCAGTTTTAACCTTAAGAATAGAGACAAACAAGTATGAAGAAGTTTTTCATATTAAACATTAATACACTAAATTATACTTCTGGCCAGGCGGGGTGACTCACACCTGTAATCTCAGCACCTTGGGAGGCCAAGGTAGGTGGATCATTTGAGGCCAGGAGTTTGAGACCAGCCTGGTCATCCCTACTAAAAATACAAAAACATTTAGCCAGGTGTGGTGGCAGGCGCCAGTAATCCCAGCTACTCAGGAGGCTGAGGCAGGAGAATTCCTTGAACCTGGGAGGCAGAGGTTGCAGTGAGCCAAGATTGTGCCACTGCACTCCAGCCTGGGCAACAGAGCAATACTCCGTATCTAAATAAATAAATAAATGAAAAAAACTATACTTCTTTAATATTTTTTAAAACTGACTTTTCTCAAAGATTTAAAATTCTTATTTAAGAACAGACAAAACTAATCTATGGTAACAGAAATCAGAATAGTAATTGCCTCCAGGTAGGGAATTTGACCAGAAAGGGGGAGAAAGGAGCTTTCTAAAGTGATAAAAATATTCTACATCTCGATTTTTGTGTTGGTTACTCAACTGCACACATTTTACAAAACGTGTTGACCTATACACTTAAGATTTATACAATTGACTCTATGTTAATTATATCTCAACCAAAAACATAATTTGTCTTTTCACTGGGAAATTCATATGTGTACATAATTCTTATTCATTCAAAGATTTTTGTGAAGGTAAAAGGGAAGAAATATATTCACTGTTTTATTTTAGCTCAAAAAGCTTTAGGTATCAAGGATAAGAATGCCCCGGAGAAACAAGAGCACAGCAAATGGAGAACTTAAGGTCTGCAGAGCCTCTGCCTCGGCTGTCCTCTGGCCCAGGAACCACTAGTTCCATAGTCTTCTTGATGTAACTCTTCCCTCTATTTGCACTTCTGCAGCCCTGTCGTGGAGTTAAACTGCCCCCATTTCATCTGATGTAATCAAATAGGACTGTTACATAAAGAAGTGCACACTGACAAGGGAGATGTTATCCCAAATCAGGTTATACAATCTTTTTGTAAATTCTTGAAATTTCTATCTGTTGAGGGCAGTCTAGGTGCAGTCTTAACCCAAGACAGCGGGGAGACATGATGGCTTTCCAAAGACTCTTCAGGCTTATCCCTGATATTTAAATGAAATTATGGGACCACAATTTCAATTGATTGAAAAACGTTTCTTTGGCATTATGAGGCCTCTAAGAAAAGCATTATTGATAATATACCATTGGGATTCTTTTCAGTCTAAGTTAAATTGTTTAATTTTAACTTTACAGTTCAAGACAGCAAACACTGCAGAAGTAAATGTATGAAAGTCAATATAGAAGCCTCTTATTAAACTCCTAATTTCCCAAAGATTTCTATATTTATTGAAGAATTTTCTCCCTAAGGGAATAAATGCTAAAATGATGTTCCCACTCTGAAAGGAAATTATTTAAAACATTTCTTAGCTGTTCTTGGTATTTATTCGCAATTCCTGGCACAAAAGATCTTTTTCTGGGGGTGGCTGGCAAGATGGCCGAATAGGAACAGCTCCGGTCTGCAGCTCCCAGCGAGATCAGTGCAGAAGGGGGGTGATTTCTGCATTTCCAACTGAGGTATTCGGCTCATCTCATTGGGAATGGTTAGACAGTAGGTGCAGCCCAGGGAGGGCGAGCCAAAGCAGGGTGGGGCGTTGCCTCACCCAGGAAGCGCAAGGGGTCGGGGAACTCCCTCCCCTAGCCAACAGAAGCCATGAAGGACTATGCCATGAGGAACAGTGCACTCCAGCCCAGATACTATGCTTTTCCCATGGTCTTTGCAACCCTCAGACCAGGAGATTTTCTCAGGTGCCTACACCACCAGGGCCCTAGGTTTCAAGCACAAAACTGGGCAGCTGTTTGGGCAGACACCAAGCTAGCTGCAGGAGTTTTTTTTCATACCCCAGTGGCGCCTGGAACACCAGTGAGACAGAACTGCTCACTCCCCTGGAAAGGAGGTGGAAGCCAGGGAGCCAAGTGGTCTAGCTCAGTGGATCCCAACCCCACAGAGCCCAGCAAGCTAAGACCAATGGCTTGAAATTCTTGCTGCCAGCACAGCAGTCTAAAGTCGATCTGGGATGCTGGAGCTTGGTGGGGGGAGGGGCATCCGCCATTACTGAGGCTTGTGTAGGCAGTTTTCCCCTCAGAGTGTAAACAAAGCCTCCAGGAAGTTCTAACTGGGTGGGGTCCACCACAGCTTGGCAAAGATTTTGTAGCCAGACTACCTCTCTAGATTCCTTCTCTCTGGGTAAGGCATCACTGAAAGAAAGGCAGCAGCCCTAGTCACAGGCTTATAGATAAAACTTCCATCTTCCTGGGACACAGCACATGGGGGAAGGGGTGGCTGTGGACACAGTTTCAGCAGACTTAAACGTTCCTCCTGCCAGCTCTGAAGAGAGCAGCATATCTCCTAGCACAGCGTTCGAGCTCTGCTAAGGGACAGATTGTCTCCTCAAGTGGGTCCCTGACCCCTGTGCCTCCTGCTAGGAGACACCTCCCAGCAAGGGTTGACAGACACCTCTTACAGGAGACCTCCAGCTGGCATCTGGCGGGTGCACCTCTGGGATGAAGCTTCCAGAGGAAGGAACAGGCAGCAATCTTTGCTGTTCTGCAGCCTCCACTGGTGATACCCAGGCAAACAAGGTCTGGAGTGGAGCTCCAGCAAACTCCAGCAGACCTGCAGCAGAGAAGCCTGACTATTAGAAGGAAAACTAACGAACAGAAAGGAATAGCATCAACATCAACAAAAAGGATGTCCAAATGAAAACTCCATCCAAAGGTCACCAACATCAAAGACCAAAGGTAGATAAATCCACAAAGATGAGGAAAAACTAGCACAAAAAGGCTGAAAATTCCAAAAACCAGAACACTTCTTCTCCTCCAAAGGACCACAACTCCTTGCCAGCAAGAGAACAAAACTGGACGGAGAATGAGTTTGATGAATTGACAGAAGTAGGCTTCAGAAGGTGGGTAATAACAAACTCCTCTGAGCTAAAGGAGCATATTGTAACCCAATGCAAGAAAGCTAAGAACCTTGAAAACAGGTTAGAGGAATTGCTAACTAGAATAACCAGCTTAGAGAAGAACATAAAAGACCTGATGGAGCTGAAAAACACAGCACGGGAACTTTGTGAAGCATACACAAGTATCAATAGCCGAATCGATCAAGCGGAAGAAAGGATATCAGAGACGGAAGATCAACTTAATGAAATAAAGCATGAAGACAAGATAAGAGAAAAAAAGAATGAAAAGGAACAAACAAAGCCTCCAAGAAATATGGGACTATGTGAAAACACCAAACATACGTTTGACGTACCTGAAAGTGATAGGGAGAATGGAACCAAGTTGCAAAACACTCTTCAGGATATTATCCAGGAGAACTTCCCCAACATAGCAAGACAGGCCAACCTTCAAATTTAGGAAATACAGAGGACACCACAAAGATACTCCTCAAGAAGAGAAACCCCAAGACATATAATTGTCAGATTCACCAAGGTTGAAATGAAGGAAAAAGTGTTAAGGGCAGCCAGAGAGAAAGGGCAGGTTACCCACAAAGGGAAGCCCATCAGACTAACAGCAGGCCTCTCTGAAGAAACCCTACAAGCCACAAGAAAGTGGGGGCCAATATTCAACATCCTTAAAGAAAAGAATTTTCAACCCAGAATTTCATATCCAGCCAAACTAGGCTTCATAAGCAAGGGGGAAATAAAATCCTTTACAGACAAGCAAATACTGAAAGATTTTGTCATCACCAGGCCTGCCTTACAGGAGCTCCTGAAGGAAGCACTAAATGTGGAAAGGAAAAACTGGTACCAGCCACCACAAAAACATACCAAATTGTAAAGACCGTCGACGCTATGAAGAAACTGCATCAACTAATGGACAAAATAACCAGCTAGCATCATAATGACAGGATCAAATTCACACATAACAATTTTAACCTTAAATGTAAACAGGCTAAATGCCCCAATTAAAAGACACAGACTGGCAAATTGGATGAAGAGTCAAGACACGTCGGTGTGCTGTATTCAGGAGACTCATCTCACATGCAAAGACACACATAGCTCAAAATAAAGGGAGGGAGGAAGATTTACCAAGCAAATGGAAAGCAAAAAAAAGCAGGGGTTGCTATCCTAGTCTCTGATAAAACA